AAATATACGCGATTTAAATCCGGAAAAATAGTTTCATTTCCTATGGGATAATTATATTTTATTTATGATATCCGGGACAAAAAAATCGTGAACCAGGTGGTAAGAGACTCGGCCACCCAAAATAGTTGCAAGTGCCACTCAGAGCTTTAAAACGATATAACTTTGCACTTACAAAAATAACTACGAGATGAGTCGCACATAATCTGAGTACATAGTACTGAGTACTAAAAAACCACCAACCTCAAAAGTTCGTGGAATCACATATATTTGCCTAGTTTTATTGAAATCGGTCACTGGAACGTGCGCGAAACCGGATTCATCCCCTAGTTTGGGTTACGTATCAGTAGTTCCAAATGACATTTTCCAGAAATAACTTTTGCTCTAATTTTCATAACCTCGAAAGTAATTTTGAGACGAAAATGTTTTTTCTTTTTAACCTAACCTAACCGAACCTAATCGTGTCTGCGATAAACACCCAAAATATCCTGAAAGAATAACGGTTTCGTTATAATTCGGTTTTCGGTGTAATGAAAATTCGAACAAACGTCATTTCGGAAAAAAATTTGAGTTTATGATAGATTACCCAAGTTTGCCATTCAAATAGATTCAAAAATGGTGCCGCCGGAATAAGCTTATTTCAGCGTGGACAGTAAAATACCTTAATAACTTCAAAACGGCATAAAGACTAAATCTAGTTTTTACGACTAGAACCGACTAAATCACAACTTTTTAGTGTAATTAGATCTAAGCTAGGTGTTGTGGTTCTCGAGATTGAGAAATGGTGCAGCTGGAATAAGCTTATTCTAGCGTGGACAGTAAACACCCTTATAACTTTTAAAAGGCGGACCGACTAAATTAGTTTTTTGCGACTAGAACAGACTAAATAGCGACTTTTATCTGGCTAGTCAAACTTCCACAACTCGACCACGGATACGCTGGAATAAGGCATACGGCATTAATTATTTGAATTTACCAGTAATATCATTAAACAATACACACGCAGGTCGCTTTTAAGGGCAATAGTAATGTCTCTTGCCCTAATGATTAGACATAGATAACGAATCCAAATACTTGTTATATAAAAAAAAAACAATATAAGAATTAAAGCTTACATTTAATAAATACGAATAGTAATAAAAATATAAATACATTAAATGTATGGCATGGATACATCACTAGCATATTGTTTATAATGAAAATGCAACTTAAGCGCTCTCCACCTCTTGCTTCATAAGTCGTATTAGGTGGTTGAATTTTTTGCCTTCGAAGATTAGAACCTGGAACAAAATTAAATCTTAAGGTCTACGCCGTATTTTATACGCGCCTATATGCGTGAAAGTCGGAATGGCACACCCTACCTTAACGGATCCTGAAAAAATTTGGTATCAAAAAAGTGTACCTAATTTGTACTATTTAGTACCTCTGTTTAAAAAATTTGTACCTCCATCAGAACGAAGTTATAGCAATATCAAAGGTACACCCGCCGTATTGACTGTCAATATGGCGGGTGTACACTCGGATTACCAGTATTTATTTAATAACTATAAAAACTTCTTATTCCAAAAATGTGTACCTTAATAGTACTGTGAAATAAAGGAAACTCTAGCTCGATCTGCTGGTTAGTTTCTGAGAAATAAGACAAATATGTTGAGATTTCAGAGTGCCGTGTGCATTTTAACGAATCCTGACATATTGGGTACGTGTTTGGCAAAGATTCCACCGTGCAGCCTGTTCATATGTCAGTATTTTTCCTTGTTTTGATGGAAAAGGTGACAAGCGCGTGTCCCTAATATATCGATGGCTTGCTTTCTCAAACTCGCATCTTATGAAGAGGACTATTCAGGTGATGGGAAAACTCTCTATTAATTTTAAATTTCTTATCAAGGGTGTTAATGCCAAAGCATTACTTTAAGAATATGTACGCCAGTGTGTAAATATGAAGGAATTGTGATGTGAAATCAGCCCGTAAAATTTGTATATACAATCCTTTTTTTGCATTTCAGTAACTTTTAGTTTTAAGATACGAGTTTGAGAACGTAAAGCGACGATATGTAGTTTATTTCATGCAATGGTAGAAAAAACGTGTTCCACATATATTGATACATAAATATTGTGTACAATATAGCTACAAGAAGCGACATAGAGTTGTTAAAACCACCAAAAATTCATTGATTGCTTTTTCGAATTCGGGATATATAAGAACAGGCGCTTGTCACTTTTTCCATCAAAACAAGGAAAAATACTGACATATGAAGAGGCTGTATGGTGGAACCTTTGCCTACCCAAATAAATGGCGGAAATTTATTTTTTAAAAATTACGAAAATAGTTACAATTATGATTTTTATAGCTTCGTTATGATAGAGGTACACATTTTTTAAGAATAAGTACTAAATAGTACAATTTTGGTACAAAATATGTCAGGATTCGTTGCACACGACACTCTGAATCAACATATTTTGTTTTATTTGTCAGAAACTAACCAGCAGATCGAGCTGGAGTTTCCTTTACTTCACAGTACTATTAAGGTACACATTTTTGGAATAAGAAGTTTTTATATTTGTTAAATAAATACTGGTAATCCGAGGTACACCCGCCATATTGACAGTCAATACGGCGGGTGTACCTTTGATATTGCTATAACTTCGTTCTGATGGAGGTACAAATTTTTAAAACAGGTACTAAATAGTGCAAATTAGGTACATTTTGATACCAAGTTTGTCATGATCCGTTAAGGTACACCCGCCATTCTGACTATCACGCCGATGCAGTCGCAGTGAATGAACCTTTAAACACGTTCATGTAGCAAATAAAATTAATAATTATTCATTCATAAAATAAATACCTTTCTGCACGGCGTCATAGATCCGCCCTCGTAGTCCCACTGCGAAAGCTCAGCTTGATCAGTAACGTCCACATCGAAGCTGGCCAATGCTTCCTCGACTAGAGGTTTTTCTTCCTGGTTCGCGAACAGTACTTCTGACGATTCGTCTGTCGACAACCATTTCATTGAGTACTTCGAATACTGGATATTTTTAGTGAATTTCGTTATTTTTTCTAAGACAGAAATGGTGGCGGTCTAAATAGTTGATAGTGGAAGAAATCAGTTGTTCAAAATTAAAGTGTAATTCTATTTTTTATAACATTAAATTAAATTTATTTAAACTGGTTTTACAACAATCGGTTCTTTTTAAATTAATATAACATGGAGTGTTAATGTAAAATTATTACATAACAAATTCCAAGTTCTATATAAAAAAATTACCTCCAGTGTTATAAGTCTTGCTGATCCAAACGAGGTACTGGAATGTGTATGGCATGTTCTTCTTCACTGCTTTCTCTACTTCGGACTGCAGCGACGAGAACAGCGGCACGCTGATTGCAGCTGGAATATTTAGGATCCTGCGACACGTTAAGAACAATTATCACTATGTAAAAAAAAATTCAAAAAGGTTATGTGTCTGGGGGTCGATTCAAAATCTTACGATAACTCAATTGTCGATCGATTTCTTTTCATTTTTATTCACAACACCCGAATCGAACGTCGTATTCGAAACCGAACCGAAATGACGTCACACCCGTACGATTACTTGAACTCCTCGACCGGCAAAGGCTACAAACGTTATTCGGAACACAGTTATCGAATGAAAGTTACCGAACGTCCTATTGTTTACAAAGCAAGAATGTAATATGGACATCTCTTATGATTTAAATAAAGTCTGGATTTTGTTCAATTTTAATAATTTATTTTATTGCAAGACTAATTGCATTCCTATATTTTAGGCCTTTAAAGTCTTAAAACTGTATATAAAAGGATTTTCATTTTTCTTATAATCCATTTCACCGACTAACTCCGTAAACATTCGATAACTGTGTTCTGAATAACGTTTGTAGCCTTTGCCGGTCGAGAAGTTCGAGTAATCGTACGGGTGTGACGTAATTTCGGTTCGGTTTCGAATACGACAGTTTGACGTTCCATTCGGGTGTTGTAAATGAAAAGAAATCGTACGATATCAAATCGAATCGGTCGACAACTGAGTTGTCGTGAGGTTCTGAATCGACATCCAGGTTTGACAGTTTTGGTTTCTGTTTAAGCAGCAAGTACGTAGAAAAGAGTTTATACCCCTGAAACTTTGCATTTGTGGCAGTCATAGTGAATGATATTATACTTGTAAGTCATAGCGGTATTTACATAGCTATATCGTGGCATGTACAAAATCGCGCAAATGTGAACATTTCTAGGTCTTTTTCACCAATTTGCAGAGTTTTGATTGAAATATACTATTGATTTGAAATATCTTCAGTGTTTTGTAGAACAAGTTTGTAAAACAGCCGCTAAAACCTAAATCATGCTTAACTGAAAAAATTTTCGAAATGGAGCTCTCGTTCTTTCTAAAAAATAACGAATATATAAAATGACTACGTTTTTCATGTTTTTTTTTTTTTTTTTTTTATACGAATTGTAAGTGCGCATTTGATCTCCATCTCACTTGATGGAAAGTGGACGATGAGGTCGACGATGGAGCATGCACACCTAAATAATGCCTATTCGCTCTCGCCTTGAAAAGGTCAAGTTATAACGTTCTGAGAACAAGTCTGCAGGCAGGGAATTCCACTCCATAGCCGTTCGCCATATAATTGTGGAAGTGTAACGTTTCGTGCGAATGTTTGGAATATCCACAACATATGGGTACGTAAATTTCGTTCGTTGATGCTGTGCTTTCAATTATTTTCTGTGGTGACAGGTTTGGGAACCTATGGCTTAGAAAATATTTATACAAAATATTTCAAGTTTCATTAAAAAAAAAGTTTATTTCAAAATATATATATATATATCTCACAGAATTACACTTACATTAGAATAATTATCCTAATTATCCGAAAAGCACGCAAAATACGCTCCAAGCAGAAAGCGTTCTTATAAAGATCTGCACCCCAAACAACTGGTCATTGTAATTCAGACTGCACTGAGATTATAGTGCAATTATGATAATATTCGTTATTCTGCTAAAATTAAATGCAAGGGCAGTTGAGTCTCAATATTGTGAGTGGAATGGCACTGATGGCATTAATTAATTAATTCACTAACGACGATGTTGCCCTACTAAATCTAGCAAGGAAATTATTACTCATATCTTAATTTCTATGTCAGTATGTAATCAGCAATTTAGTCTTCAAATTGGTTACCAAAGTCGAAAATTTTTTTGTCCGAAATAACGTTTGTTCGAATTTTCATTACACCGAAAACCGAATTATAACGAAACAGTTGTTCTTTCAGGATATGTTGAATGTTAAGTTAGGGTTCAAAGAAAAAACATTTTCCTTTCAAAATTACTTTCGAGATTATGAAATTTCGACCAAACGTTATTTCTGGAAAGTGTCATTTCGGACTACTGATAGGTAACCATTCAAATTAAACGTATTTTTATGTCAAATTAGTAGACTCCGCCATTGACTAGTCATTGAAGAGCAGAGTATCAAAAAATTGCAAATGGCAGTTAAATAGTAGCTTAACTCTTAGAAGAATATCTAAGGTCAAATGCCTGTCACTGCCACACTGTATCTACACATAACTGAGATGATTTAGCGAACTTCGGGCCCTGTGTAAGGTCCAATTTGGCGGACATTCTTACAATTCTAATGAAATACAAATAATTGTTTTTTCACCTCACTAGCTCGGAAAGGCTTTCGTCTCTTCCACGCCAGCGCGTTTAAAGTTTTTGTAATTCGAACTTGACGATGGACTGTGGTGCACCTAGCTTTTTCTTTTGATGAAAAAAACATAATGATACGTTCAAGTAAAAGATTTGTCGTACATTATTTATGTAATATCTATTCGTGTGTATTATATTCTTATTATTGTTAACCTTAAATTGACAAAGACAACTGAACACACTCTTTTTCGCCTACCTTTTTTTTCGTTATAATGAGGTGAAAAGTTGTGTGGTTCGCTCTGCAGTAAAGTTGTTTGGCGTCTCGTGCCTTGAAACCCTCGCCACGCTCAGGAATCTATTTTTGAATCTTAGCATCCTTCGCTTACTCAGGTTTCAATACAAGCACTCGCGTCAAAAAGCTTTGCAGCTTTGGTTAACAAATGACTATTACCTTTCATTAATGACGAAACCCACAGACTCTGAATCGTTAGTGAGAATCTTCTTAACAAGAGCTTTGGTCTTTTCGTCTGCGTTTTCATCTGCAAGTGTTGTGAGGAGGTTCCTGATTTGTTTTATGCAATTTTCGTCCTGCAACGAAAGTGTTTTTCTTTTTGTAATTTTCTATAAAATAACAATAATAAAAATGGCAGAAATGTGTACACTATTAGTATTCAAAACACTCTCAGAAGACATTCTTTTGTTGCACTTATTTTGCATTTCCCAATTTTATATCCTAAAGTTATCTAGAAGCAATTGCTTAAAGCCGCCTGTTGTACATTAGTGTCTAATTATTTATTTATTTTTATAATATCAAGTGACGTGACGAACAAGTCGTGTCTGGTGGTAAGTTACACGCCTGTCCATAACAGTTGCAGTGCCACTCAGAGCTTTAAGTCGCAAAGATCTGAGGGGCACCGCCACTGCGCCGGTAACCCTGAGACATAAGTTGACAAGTCCCATGTGCCTGCAACTTCACCAGCATCCTCACCCTTCAAAACTGGAATACACTAATAATGCTCACATTACTGTATCACGGCAGAAGCAGGTATGGTGGCAGTTTTTCCCTGGATGAACTCTTTCACAAGTTATACTGCTACCAATAAATGCCTTTATCATGACTCAAAAACCATACATGTAAATTTTATAAACAACTAACTTTTCTCTTAGTGATGTTTATGACAGTGGTGATTCCAAAGACTCCATCACTCCCATCATCTTCATCATCATCCTCCATGACATCGTCCAGACACTGCTTGACTACACTGCCTACATAGTTTTGTGCTGAAACAGAATAAACATAACCATTGTTGATTACAACTAACTTTTGTTTATTGAGTGTTTACTATTAAATAGTACACAATAGTGATGAAGAGTGTTGCTTTGAGAAATTGGTTAATCCATACATGAATTAATCTACATCAACAATATTGTCATTATATTTTGAATAAACAAATGCCTGACAATATTAAAGAGAATCTAACACCGGAATGCCTACTCACAAAGAGAATGGATATAGACACTACACCAAGAACAGCATGCGGCCATTGTGCTTAAAAACTTGTATGGCAACATGTGTCAAGGTAAAATAGTGAGATACAGTTTACAACCGACAATTAAGTTTAAATGTTTACTAAAACACTGAGTAAAGAAAACATATAATATACAAATATAAAATATTTGAATATATGTATATACAATTTCTTTTTTTTTTGAATTGGAATCCGGTTTATTTTGTCCTTTAAATTAATTGCGTAATTATGTCAATCTGCAACATAAACTATGTCAGAAAGACACAACATAAATCAGCAACAAGCTTCATCACATAAAAATTACTAATACAATTCCCATTTTTATCCAATTATTACAATGAGAAAAAAAAAACTGCACTGAATATTTTAAATGTCATAATTTGAGTAAAATTTTATTTACAGGTTTCATGTGACATGAATAATGTAAAAAATGCAAGTTTATTTTTGCAGGCTTAGCATGAGCCCGAAGACAAAAGTTATCTCTTTTTCGAACTGTCAATTTAGCGAATTTTTGTAGCAATATTTTACATGGAATAATGAACTTTATGGTCAATTGTGTAACATACAAACTAGATAGATAGAAATTTGCTTCCATTACGTTCCGCCGCAGTATAAGATGAGCCTTAGTAACATAGTTCTGTGAGGTTGTTAGTATTTACAAATAATATTCATATGTTTACGTAGTAGGTATTACATAATTTCCAGAATTTAAACTTACAAATGATAATCTGTGCAAGTCCTCCTAGGTCAACATCAGATTTGAGGAACAGCTGTCTAAGGAGTTGTTTGATACCATGGAAGTCACAGTCCTCAGGGTTGCGGCCTTCGAAGTCGGCTTGCAGTTCCTGTAATAGATAATTGGTAATGGTTAGAAGAAATAAACACTAATGTGAATTGATCCTAATGATGGACAGGTTATACTAGTATGTGTGTATAGAAAGAAACTTGAGCAACCATTGTTTTATTTGGATTTTAGACAATATTGCCTGCCAAATATAAGGACCTAAGCCAGCCGAAGCAAGGAGAGCATGCACAAGTGGGGTTATAGCTCTGTGAGCACATGTATTTATGGTTTCTCTCCCCAGACTATGGTACATCTTTTGTCTTATCCTGCATGCCCCTACACCTGCACAGGCAAGGATGGATCTGTACAACGCCACTGATAATGCTGTGTCCGTCGCTGAGTACTGGTCCTCACAAATATAAATGTCAGAGTCGAAACGCTAAGAAGAAGAAGAACACAAGCCTCTGTAATTTTGTCAATGATTATACATATCATCAGAATTTTTATTATTATTAGGGTGGCTTCATTTGGGGCCTATGAGGCCCCTCTTCACTGCGACCATTAAATGATCTATTGTGATCACCATTAATTACAGCTCGGAGTCAAGACCAACAGCATTAAGGAACTGAAGGACTTTCCTGGCTCTGACAATTTTTATGTCCTCTGGATGTGGCCTGTGCCTACCCGGTATGGAACTTCTTACGCCCATTAGAGAGCAGCACTGGGTGAGGAGATGCACAGGAGTTTCATACGCCTGGTGGTAGAATCTACATTCTCTGTTTTCTCTCTGTCCAATATTGGACATGTGTTTGTTCAATTAAGTTAAGACTCTAGTCAGCATTCTGATGCCATTCCTGTCCAGTGACACTTCTCTAGTGTTTGGCACTGAAGGCAGCTATCAGGGCTCTTGAATGCTCAAGACCCTTAGTCTGCAGCCACACGTCACGGGAGATGTGTGCTCTCTCTCGTTCAGCAAAGTGACCTTTGCCAGGCTGCATGCTATCCCTATAAAGGGCTCAGGACCAATGAAGGCCTCCCTAGCACCAGCCATTGCCAGTTCATCCGCTGCTTCATTACCTACAATGTCAGTGATCAGGAACCCAATGCAGGACCACGTTATTCCTTTCCCCGAGAGTATTCAGTATAGTTACAAAGTTCTCTACAATCCTCGAAGTTTGGGTGACTGAGGTTAGTGCATGCGGAGCGCCTTGACTATCTGAGTTTATATAAATATAATTGTTAACGTTGCCTCTCTTCAGGTTTAGATCCGCACAAGCAATTATGGCGTATATGTATGATGTATGAAAGATAGAGGAGTGTCGTCCCATGTTCAGCTTGTAGCCGAGTCTGGGTCTCACGCCGTGATTAGATTTCCGATAGATTCCCGTAAATCACGCCAATTTGGTTGCTACGACATTTATGCAGGTTGATTTGGCGACTAAATTACCGAAATGGAGACTCATGGTCAAATGCTAGTTACGCGTAATTCCACTATCCCCGACGATATGTCACATTGCATTTTCGTTTCCTACAAAGATTGACTTTGAAATATTACATTTTGTAAAGTAACACAACACTAAAAATTCTTGGAAAAAAAACCATTTTGTACACAACATAGCTAACTAACAGCAAAGAACAATGGGGAGCAAAGAAAATAGAACAAAACCAAGTCTCACGGTCATGACTTCATAAACGACGTATACAAAAGGCTTGTAATATGATCTTATAGCATGCATTCATATTCAAAGTTAAAGAGTTTGCAATATCTTTTTCTCGCTCAAACTTTGGATGGAATGCTTAAGTTTGAGTAGGAGAATGCTTACCATGGATCCCAAAAGTTTTCTTCGTCCGAATATACATAATACACCAATATTACTACGAATTTGCAACACATTACGAAATAGCTAATTATACAAAGAATTATTATCATATCTAAACGATTACACGACGAGTCTACATCAAATTGAATTAAATTGTATAAAAACGTATGTTGTATATACTAAAACGCTCAAACTTTCCAAAAAATATGTGTTGTTTTTATTGCCATGTGAGTTTGAGGTTATGTGATATATACAAACCTTGTCGCCGACGTAATTTCCATCAGAATCCACGTCGGAGTCATGATCGCTGGCGGAGTTCTGCTCCTCTTCACTTTCACTCTCATTTTGCAATTCTTTATTCTTTTTGTTGGACATTTTTGCGAATTATTTTGCCGGGACGAGCACGCAAATCCAAAACACGACAGAAAATGACAATGACAGTGACAGTTTAAACCACAATGACCAGAGACCACCGACAACTCTGTGGTTTTTATAGGCACGGCTTAGAGTTATCGAGACTTGAAATAACAAATTATGAAACATTTCTTTTAAATTTAATAATAAATAGCTAAAAAGTGAATAGTTAACTTTGATATAATTAAATATTAGTGAATTTAGTTCTAGTGTACAAAAATTTTTACGACGATTTAACTTTTTTTTTTATACTAACTTTTCTATTGTAATAGTGAAATAAACTTATTGTTTATAAATATTTAGAAGTAGGGTAAAGTAAGACCACGAAGTCTTGATAATCTGTAAGTGAAAGTAATATTAAATCAACTATTCATATAGTAAGAAAAAATTGTTTTAATTTCGTCGTTTCCTAATAATATTACCGTAGTGTAACTTGCCAGAGACATAACAGAGAATCCATAAGTAGTAACGTGGACCTCCTTTTGTGTCCTGAAAGAATATACAAACAGTAATTATTCAAGACAATGACTCGATGACGTTCATACCAGTCATTTAAAAAGTGTAGGTATATATTATACGTAGCCTATCCATTACGAGTACAAACCTATTGATCATAATGATTACAGCATTGCTAATTCGCTTACTCACTCGATACCAGCCACTGCTATATAAAGCGTCTGATAAACCTGTGCTCTGTAAAACATAAAGAAATAGTTACGCACCTAATTAAGTAAGTGGATATCTTTTATTTCTGTATAAGCACGTAAAAAGCGTGATTGTTACTTCTACATTTGACACCGAGTTTAACATGGACACAACTAAAAAATATCCAATTTGGCAAGTAAATATGTAATAGTTATTTTTTCGAATGAATGTTCTATGTGGCTAATTTGACGCTTAATGTGTTCCTTTACGAAATTCGTATCTGAGACAGTTATTTATGTGAACGTTAATGTTGTTATGTAATTTTATATGCTCCTAACAATATAATTGCTTTGTCCGTGATTGTTTTTTACCTCCCTATCAGAGGTTAACCGGAGAGGGTCTTCAAAAAATAAATGTTTGGATTATGAATACAAAGAAAGATTTTTTTTTCTTAACGAATGGTTTGTGAGACTAATTTACTGTCTCAATTTTGCCAGTGTCCGTTATATGTTAGTTTCATAAACATCATGGAGGGGGTAATGTAGAAAATTTGTTCGGTGACTCGGAGGGAGTATCGAAGAGATTTTTGCACAAGTTGATCCCTAGAAAGAAAGATGAATGCCTTGCTGCTACTACAGCGTTGAAACTGACACTGGCCCCACCCTTGTGGCCGCCATTAAAAACAAACTTTTCCGCAAAGCTGGAAAGTTTGTGCTTCTGTTCCTAACAAAATGCAGTATTTTTTACTTGTGACACATTTCAAGAAAATGTTCTATGTGAAACTTACCGATTCCAGCAACCTTTGCCCGTACCAACACAGCAACCAGGTCTGGGACAAAGCAGTGGTCAGAAACGATTTGTATACCATCTCATTCCATTTCTCCACAATCTGAAGTTAGAAGAAATCAGTACAGAGTACTAATAAAACCGAAATCTAAAGTCAGTTTACCACTTTAGAGGTGGAATATTTTGTTCAAATTTAAATTGGACCACTACTGAGATACCCCTCTTTCGAACAAAAAGAATCATCGAAATAGGACTCATTGCGTAACACACATAAAAAAAAACATACAATCAAAATAAGAACATTTTTTTTAAATCGTTAAGAAGTCGGTTAACGTTGTTCTGGGGGTCTACTCTCGATTTCCGTCCGACATCCGTCCGAAACAATTAATGGCAATAAACACTACTTGACCAAATGAAAAGGACGCGTGATGCGAATGAAGCTTCATTCTTGATACTTGTCTTTTAATTTTGTCGAATATTACTTATTTGACAGTAATTGTTTCGGACGGAGATCGAGAGTAGACCCCTTGTTCCCAAAGTAAGTAACAAAAGCTCTTGTCGAGTTCTTAGGTTTTCGCGATTGTTACACAGGAAATGAAACTATTTTTCCAAAGTCAAAGTCAAAGTCAAAGATTATTTATTCCATAGGTAAAATGTTTTTTCAAACATGACCATGGGACCTGTAAACGGCCCGAAACGTCGGTTTGTTTGAAAAAACAAATATACGCGATTTAAATCCGGAAAAATAGTTTCATTTCCTAAAAGCTCTTGTGTTATGGAAGTCGGAAACAATGACGGTACCATAAGCACCTAGACCCGAGACGACATAGAAAAGTCAGTTTTCTACATTGACCCTGCCAGAGATCGAGCCCGGGACTTTAGAGATGTCGACACACCATGAAAGCCGAGCCATTACTATGGAGGTCTTCAAATACTTACAATAGTGTAATTATCACTTCAGGGTAGCAAAGACCAGATTTTTATTTGTCCAAAATAAAGCTAAATTATATTGTTTTGTTTATGGACAGAAATATTGCCCTGTAAAGCGTTGTACACAACAATTAATGATATACTTCTTTTTGTGAAAAAATAGGCACTCCACTAGTTTGTTACTTTTGTCGATATTAAAGCTCGAACAACTCAAATAAAAATTCCTTTAAATCTGATTGGACTCGAACCAGCGTCTGTTGCCACACCGAGGCTACCGCTTTTACCAACTGAGCTACAGATTGAGTTAGTAAATCTTACGAATTTCTTTATGTGCTTGTTGCATATTTTTTTATTGGGTTTAAATGGCTTTTTAATTTCAACATTGACGTCCTATATACAAATATAAATAATATATAAATAGAAAACAGGGCTTTCAATAATAATTATATAGTTTTTAGGTCTTCGCGATTGTTACATATAGGAAATAAAACATTTGTTTTCGGATTTAAATCACGTATACTTGTTTTTTCAAACAAACCAACGTTTCGGGCCCTTTACAAGTCCCATGGTCACGGTTGATTGAGGTGATAAAGGCATCAATCAGTTACTTTCAATATTAATGCAAACCACAAACCGGGTGGTTATTTTTTACATTTTATTTTTCACTATAGTTACAAAAATTATTAATTAAATACCTTATTTTTCAGTTTTCCAAAGAATATTCCAATTTACGCTACATATGTTTTGCAAAATATTTTATATTGACAATATAATTTTTTAATTAAATTAAGTATATTATTAATGAATAATGGAAATTAGAATAAATTAAAACATAACATTAGTACTGCAGTCTCATGTCTGTTAAGGATTTTTATCAGAGGAAATACTGGATCCCAAACTGGGGGTATGGAGAAACAATCTTCCCTGTTGAAATTAGGATGTTTTTTAATTTCAATGACCTCTCGCAGCACCCTGGACAAAAAACAAATATACGCCATTCAAATCCGGATAAATAGTTTCATTTCCTATTTTAATAATACAGAGTTCAACTCTACACCACTTGCGATGAGATATGCTCGAGACCGTATATAACTCCAATATAATACTAATAGGACAAGACGTATCAGGTAGTGTTCTACAAATTTTCTGTTCAGTATCTTGATTAATATAGACTATATTTAAACTGAAAACCACGTACGATGCAGCAGAATCCACAGAAGCAAATGATGATGGAACTATTGAAGAAATTTACCAGTAGCGCAAAGCTGAACATGTTCTCCACATCACCCGACAATCTGGAGACAAGAACGTTCTTCATCAATGTACTACTCGGGTATTTAGTTTGTGTAGGATGCGTAAGAACTTGTAAGAACCCGGAACTTCTTCATCCAGTGCCCACTGTGCTAACCGTGGGCCACCGAGGTCGTTATAATGTAAGAATATAATATAATGTAGAATATAGTGAATCTTTTGATATTCCTTGTTTGGCACATAATCTGTTAGTTTTTGAGATAAATCCGCCTTTACCTGATCAATGCCCGATGTTTCAAGATGATTTCAGAAATCTCCCTCTGATGTCTTTTCTCCCATTCCCTGTCATCGCACGAGTCAACGGCGCTTTTTTCTTTTTGATAGAATTGCTCACTATAAACACCTGAAATAGCATTTTTAATCACTGTTACAATGCATGGTATAGCATTTCTGGGGATATACAGATGATTACAAGTATTACCCATACTTGTCCATAAATATTTAACCCTAGAGGCCTTACCTGTTACGTCCCAATACAATGCGTAAGCGGATCCTGTGGCGCCTCTCTATGGCGGTGGAGTTAACCACCGAGTTTTAGTGGGTACACGGGGCTACCGCCCGGTAGACATGGGGAAAAGCGTTACATTCCTACTAGTGACATCTCACCGTGATTTTGTCACGCCTGTCACATGTATACCGCCCGGTAGACATGGGGAAAAGCGTTACATTCCTATTAGTGACATCTCACCGTGATTTTGTCACGCCTGTCACTTGCATCACGATGTACGGTTTTGGCAAGCGGCTACTTTCTAATAGTCGTTATTATTACTCACTTTGAAGTAACGTTTTATTTTTTCCATTTGAAATGTTGATCCGCAGCAACTTTCGCAGTGTTACAGGCTCAGGACTGTCGCATTATTCGTGAATAAGACCATGCGGCGTGTTTATTACTTTGGATCAATTTTGTACAATAATTATCTTATTTGTATTTCGAATATTTACACGCTATTTACACTGATCGAATTATTTCTTGGTTCATAATTAGAATTAAAAAATAAAAGCGAATAACAATGATTAGCGCAGTCGTCAGTCTCTACAGAACGGAGATTGCGCACCACGTTACCACGTTTTCACGTACATTAATGACGGACCTGAATCCTATTTACAAGGCAACAATATTTAAATTCCTGAATAATACAATCGCGCGGTCACCGCGTAGAATCTAAAAACTAGCCATACTCGCCGCGCGCCCGGGACGCTCATTCAAGTTAAAACGTAAATGCTAAATAAATAGAGCGTACTTTGCCATGACAGTTAGAAGCACGCGGTCGCTGCGCGGCGGCAACGCGGTCTCCGCGCGGCGTGAGCGCGATGAAATTCGTTTCGAAAAAATGCGCCCTTAGGGAGATGCTACACGAGCGTTGCGTCGTCGCAACTGCGTTGATTTCAACTGAGCTGTTCTGTCACCGTGTGGCATGTCGTTCTGATTTATATGTAGTATAACGCAGTTGCGACGACGCAACGCCGACGTAACGCCCGTGTGGCCTCTCCCTTAGTGGAACGGAGTTACAACCTATGTGATTTTGGACCGTCGTTCCTTCGTAAACAGTCGCGGTGGTACTATTTGACGGCTGATCACTGTGATTCGTGACGTTATTTACCACCCACCTCTACCGTCCGGAAGTCCCGCATAAACGCTCGCTGCTCCCCCCAGCCGAGTGGTATGCGTACCGCATTTCCCAGCGATAAAAAAAGAATATCCTAAAACACTTAATATAAATTTCTCATAATTTGTTGGTTTATTAGTTTATCTTAGTTACCTAAAGGGAATTCTGCAAGCAACTGTCTGTCCAGCGGCACATAGACTAACTTCTTAATTCTGACTGCCAGCAGGTCGAACTGAGTCGTTATGTGGCTGAGGAAGATGCAGAACAGCAGGTCTCCGCATAGCATGAACCAGATTGTTATTAAACCTGCAAAACACGCCTGTTTATAACAGTTGCAGTGCCACTCATAGCTTTAAACCGCAAAGATCTTAGAGGTACTGCACCCGTCACCCTGAGACATAAGTTGACAAGTCCCATGTGCCTGTAATTTCACCAGCACCCTAACCCTTCAAAATCGGAACGCAGTAATGTTTACATTACTGCTTGGCGGCTGAAATAGGTGAGGTGGCAGTACTTCTCTGGACGAACTCTTTCACAAGGAGCTCTACTGCTACAAAAAAGTAACGGATAACTCACGTAAATATTTAAGTCGAATTTTAAGTCCTGCGAAAATTGTTTAGAATATGAAAAAATAATATATAATTAATTAATTTCCATTTTTGAATTTTTAAATACGTATTTCGATTGTTTATTCTTGTGTGTGAAAATATGTATTGAATATTGTGGATACTTTTAATTGTCATTTGCATTGACTTACCATTTGTACATAAGTATATTATTAAAATCGATATATATATATTTTTATTATTTTGTAAGTTTATCGGCATCTGATATACGGCTAATTATTTTATTTTTAAATTATACTTTTTTTCTTAATGCGCAATGTTCTATTTTTGAATCCTACTTCATAATAAACGGAAAGGTTTGGTTGTATATTAGTAAACATTGCAAATCGGCAATAGAACTGTGCGCATTTTCGAGAAAAAAATATTTTATTGGCTATTAACTTTTTGAAAGGCACTACTACAAATTTATTAGTGTACCGGATACCGATAAACTTATGAAATAATAATTATGTCAGGAGACGCAACATACCTTGCTTGGTCACTGACATAAAGCGCTTAAATGGATATTTATATCAAACGTAAGAAATAAATATCTAAAGGTTGCACATAAAGTCTGATAACAGTTTGCGACACAGTATTTTTACGCGTGATGTAATACTTTATTACGAATATGCTAATACATTTCCTTTAGAGTACACTTCGATTCAATGATTTTAAAAGCAAGGCGGACTATGGGTTTCCTATATAGAGTTGCAAAAACTTTCAAGCAAACGCGAAGTATGATTATTCTGTATGTGGTTCTTGTGAGAAGTATACTAGAGTACTGCAGCATAATATGGCCACCTATTTATAACAATCATATCAACAGGATAGAGACGATACAGAAACGCTTTGTATGTAGTCTTACTTCAAAATTGGGATTAAGAAAAAAAAAGTGACATATACAGATAGGCTTAACCAATTTAAACTAGATTCGCTTTGCGTGAGACGGTTAGTAACCTCCTGATTTTGCACAAAATAGTAAATTCCATATTAGATACTGATATCATAAGCCATGTTTCACTAAAGGTCACCAATGGATCTAATCATAGGCAACATTTGTTTTTGGTGCCTTTTGCAAAAAATAATGTGTCACATACTGCCCTCTTAAGTATACGTTTATGCAGGCAGTATTATGTAAATATCGTGATATATTCCACCAGAGCACCAACAAATTTGTACAAATTATAAAAAGCCCTGACTGTAAGGAGGCACGTAACACACATCACAGATTCTATTGACTTAGTTAGCCATATTCATTAAGTTGCAAAATGCTATTTGCATGTTGTGCGCGGTTGTTATTGGGCTACAAATTTGTTTGTTTCTGGTTAGTGTCATAGTTTTACTTGTATAATATAATTTGTATCTTGTAACTGTGCCAAAATAAGTAATTTTTTTTTTAAATACCCACATTTTCAAATTTGAGTTTTGAGCATTACCTTGTATGGGCGGGCCCCAGTGTGCGTAGCAAAGTAAGAATGGCGGAGAAAAAGAATTACAGAACGATTCAAAATATCATAAGTAAGTGGCCAGGTGCTAGCGAAGAGGGTGGGATGATGATGAAAGAGGTATCGTCACAAGTTTATTCAATCGTTTGTTGAGTTATTTGTAAACTCAACCTTACCTACCCGCTTTATTAATACTTATATAGTCTTATTACATTAATTATGAAACATTGGTTAAAATGAATTTCCCATTTATATGCTACACCCTCAATATTTTCCATAAATATTTTGTTGAACGTTTCGTAAGGATACAATAAGGAAAAAAACAAGGCTATCCGGCAGACAATGATCCTCCAGAGGGTTTTTATAGGACCAATTTGATGTCACAACCATAACTGTACCAGGTAGAGTGGTGCGTTTCACCGTAGTTATACTCCAATCAACCATTGATTTAACTTTTGACATATGCATGCCTCCGAAGTTCCGTAATTATTGACACACAATCATAGACAAAAAAATGTAATACTTCATGGACTTTTTAAATTTTTAATTTTAGTGAATCGTCGTGCTCTTTAGCCTCGATATTTATCGAGCCAACAGATTATGTAACAAACATTATTCAAGTTGATAAATTTTGGTACGTGTCTCTCTCTCTCTCTCTCATCTGAGCGTTGTCCCGGTTGCGTCCTCAGCAGTGTTGCTGCGGAGCCCGGTGTCCGCTTTCCTGCTTTTTCTCCTCCACTTTGCACGGTCTTCGGCATCCTTAGTGGTGAGACCATTGGCACGCATATCACCCTTGGCGACGTCAAGCCAGCACTTCTTGGGTCTGCCCCTTAAATTTGGGTACGTGTCTAATAAATTATAATGAAATGAAATAAATTATAAATAATTGTAACAAAATTCTTATTGTTCATTATAATGAATCGTCGGCTTCTTCTCCATATGAACGAGAATCATTTCAGTCATTTGAATCCTCATTTATATTATTTATTAATTCTTGAGTACACAAATTGTCAAGCGCAACATCACGATCCCAAACAGAAAATATCTTCTTTTTTGAACCCGCTCACATTCACGAACTTTTACTTTTTATCAAAAATAAGCATTTGACCTCCATCTCGCCTGATGGAAAGTGATGATGAGGTCGACGATTTAGCATGCACACCTAAATAATGCCTATTCACTCTCCCCTTGAAAAGGTTATAGCGTTCGGGAAACACGTCTGAAGACAGGGAATTCCACTCTCTAACCGCTCGCCATATAAATGTGGAATCGAAACGCTGCTTGCGAATCCTGAGAATATCCACCACATAGTGGTGGAACCCCACCCCACGTCTAGTCCCCCGACGATGGAAAGGGGAAGGCGGAATCAAATGATGCAATTCCATCTCACACTCTCCGTGATATATCCTGTAGAATGCCGATAAGCAGGCAACTTTACGGCGGTGCTCAAGGCTCTGCAGTTTCGCTTCAACTAATTCCGAGTCACCTATAAGCCTTTTAAAACGATTAAAACTTGTTCATAAATAAAATCGATTGTTATAAAAAAGTCGAATCGGAAACGCATTAGGACATCACTAATTGATTAGAATTATTATTAAACGGAGTATAGTCCAAACCTTAGAATAATAACGCATAGAAACCTAGCCCGCACACGCTAAGTGAGGTAAATTGAAGCGCGCCCAATTGGCCTACACGAGCGGGCGGGCCTTCAGTGCTCAAGGTCAACTTGCACCGCGAACAGATCAAGAATTTTAGCTAAAAATGACGAAATGTGCGGTAAATGAGTGTAAAAATACGTCAGAGAAACATAAAATAGATACTGACATCACATTCCACAAGGAAGTAACGCATTTCAACTTGTATTTTTATATAAATATTCACTAAAACCGAAAATTAACCTACTACTAAAACTAGCCTACATGAATTTGATTTTTGCCTCACTTGTGACAGTTCGTTTGATATGAAACTATCTTTCTATGCGTTATTATTCTAAGGTCCAAACTATCTACAATAATAAAACTATATGTGGGTATAAAATGTCTCGTTACATTATTTCAAAGAGCGACATTCACTAAAAAAAATTAATATGTGTTCACCATCTTCAATTCAGTGTTGCGAAATGAAATAGAAGTAAATTGTATTAACGTATTTGTACATAGAATAACTTTTTTTAATAATAATTATATTTATTCACCAAGTTATATCATGCAACATTTAGCACGTCTAGACAGTTTGTGGATCTTTTAAAACACTATAAATTTGCCTCTAAAAATATACAATATGTCAAATCTGTTTAATACAATGTAATTTTCTAATGTCAAAATATAGTGTATTTAAATAACAACGACTTGCTTCTCTTGATATAAATTCTTTGTCTGGTAACTTCGTTACTGATATATAATTTTAATTTTAGATCTCATCCCTGTTTTCGGGTTTTTGTCAATCTAATCTTGGGTATCGCTAGTTTTACAATTTTGATGAATTTTGGTATAGATATAGATGGGACCTAGGAGAAAGACATAGGCTACTTTTTGTCTAAGGGGGTCAAATAGGGGAATGAAAATTTGAAAGGAGAACCAAGAATTTCTCAAGCAAGGGATCTGAAAATTCATATTTATGCCTTTTGTAAGAAATAAACAATGTTTCAGCGTTTTTGACTAATTACCCCTCAAGGTAAAATGGGACGTAGGCTACTTGAAGTACTTATTCAACGTAGACGAAGTCGCGGGAACCAGCTTGTACCTTTATAAATTACAATTGCAATGTCACAAGATGTATTGTTTAAATCTCAACCCGTATTAGGCCAGCTACAACAAAATTGGCCCAATCAGTTTCTAAATGAGTTTTTGCCCAAAAGTGCGACGTTTATAAATTGATAGGGACCACAGACATTAAGGTAGAGAAATTCATCTTTATGATCTCATTTATTTCACCAACAAAGTCGATTTAAATTTAAAATCGGTATTTATTGACTCTTCTGTTTGTTACCGGTGCTCTAGAAAACACGATTACGTTATTTGTCTATAGAATGAAATCCCAAAATAGCGTCTAATCCATAGATTCCCAAAGTGGTCCCTACACAGTTTGGGTAACAGATCACAAACTCGAATTATTTTTATCCGAAATAACGTTTGTTCGAATTATAACGAAACCATTGCCTTTCAGGATATGTTGGATGTTTATCGCAAAGATACAATTAGGTTAGGTTAAGTTAGGTTTAAAAGAAAAAATATTTCCTCTCAAAATTACTTTCGAGGTTATAAAAATTCGAGAAAAACTTTATTTCTGGAAAATGACATTTCGGACTTCTGATAGATAACCCCCAGTGGGCGCCGGAGAGGTCTAGGGGGCATTTTAAAAAACCTGAATTATTTATATAAAACTACACTACAAATTTAATATATTTTTTTCCTTGTGAATTTTTGTGTTAAGTTAATATCAAAAACACGTGTTTTCAAATATTTTGTGTTGTGGTGGTGCGGTTGAAATTTTCTTATATACCCTAAGTGGCCGGTAAGCGAAAAAGTTTGAGAACCTATGCTCTAATCCATTGGCGTTTGTCGTTTTATTTAATAAATAAATTCTATTTCGTATTCACAAAGTTTATATCTAAAGGTAAGTTATGACAATTTCTTTACAAATCACAGTTGAGCTCGTTTAAATTTAATTTGTATAAAAATTGATTTCGAAGTTATCCCAACTTGTGCGAACTAAAAGTGAAATTCAAATAATCTTTATTTCATAAGTAAGCAGTGAAAGCTTGTGAAAGAGTTTGTCCAGGGAAGTACAACCTTACCTATTTCTATCAAGCGATAATGTGCGCTTTCCGGTTTTGAAGGGTAAGGGTGCTGGTTAAATTACTCGTACAGCCACATGAGACGTGTCAACTTATGTCTCAGGATGATGGGCGCTCTGAGTAGGACTGCAACTACTATTGCAACTGACAGGCGTGTCGCTTACCACCAGGCGCACGTTACGACCTGTTCGTCCCGTCACTTGATATCATCTCGGTTGGCAATTATAAATATTATATTAAGACTATAATGTAAATATTATGTATATGGCTGGTGCCATGAAGGTTATTAAGAAAAAACTATTCTAACTTGTCTGTTTTCCAATATATACCCCAAATAGATTTTTTCAATTTCGTCACAAATTATGTTGAAATGTTTGAAATTATGCAACCTCCCCCTCTCTCTTTTTTCAGTCATTATTTGTTTATTTATGAAAACACAGGTTGTATAGAAGTTGATATGTAATAAAATACGTATAATTATTAACACGGAACGAACCAGCGGATCTCACGTTTTTTTCCATGTTCTTGTTGTCGAAATTTTGTATTTTTTAACCGTAGCGCCATCTGTGAGAAATCTATGAAAGTATTTCGTCACCCAGTTAGGTAACTTTACAGTAATTAAACTTGTATTGAATTGATATTCTATTGATATATAGATATTCATAGGATATATGTATAGTTTCATTATATCTGGCCAAACATTGGGCATACACACACATTGAAGGTGTATTATACATTTATTCACATACACTTCAATAGATTATACTGAGTGTTAGATTTTAATTTTTTTAATAATGGCACATGGGCGCGCACATGGATTGAATAAGTCAGTCTGTAATTTAAACGCGTTGATAGTTATTTGTCTCAGTTTTATTGATAATAATTTGTAAAATGTAACTACATGTCAAAATAATAATAATAATTTGAAAAACGTCAAAATAAATACACAAATGTCAAAAATTAACCAAATTAAATACCAACACCTAAAAAACTATTTTATTAAATGAATTAATGAACTTTATAATTAATTTAAATTAATTAAATTGTTTTATTGCTTTTTATATAGCATAAGGTTTAATATATTAAACTTCCTTCGGTATATTATTGTACATTTTTGACACCATTACAAAAATAGCTTTTCTCTTTCTACGATATGTTTACATGGTATATGTAGGCATACTTACCATGCCAAGTCTGAAAGATCAATATAATCTCGTAATAAACTCTCTGAAATGGGTCGAAAGGGAACCAATAGAAGAAAGGGAGAATCAAAGGGACATCGTATCCCAAAGCTCTCTTGATGATCTCCACTATTGGTGGAGATAAAAAGATTACTAGGAGAGCGTTATTGCACCAGTAGTAACCTAGAAAAAAAATACATTCAGATGAAGTACAAAAGAAAAAAATGTATTTGTTAAGTTTTTTTTTATTGAATGTCACGATGTATTCAATTATTTTACACCACAATATTCAATTAGTTTTGTGAAATTTCTCCATTATTAATACAAAGATGGAATACTTAGAAAAAATTCCTTAGATCCGGCTGGATTCGAACCAACGTCTTCCAGCAAACCGTGACAGACGCTATGCCAAGTAAGCCACGGAACGAATTAGTGTAACTTACGAATTTTAGTGTATGAATAATTATAGAAAAAAATATATTAACGGAATCCAATAAAAAGCATATCAAGGAAATATATACAATGTGTTGATTTGCATTCTAGCTATATGTACAGAGGTCATTCTATATACGAAACACAACCCATATAACTAAAAAAATAAATCGAAAAAAATATTTCGTAAATTCCTATTTTTTATTTAATTGCGGTAAACAAATTTGATCTAAAGGTCATTGACTTGCAAGGCACTTGCAAACATTTTGAACAATGAAACTCATTTTAGATCTATTTGGTGGTGGGGTGCGGGTAGCAACGGCGGGGAGTGTTGTATCGAGCGCGCGATTGATAGATCAGTCGACCTTGTTTCCCGTACTGAGTCTCAGGGTCGTATTCTAGAACTCTACTCAATGCTCAAGTTAGGATTTGAGTATGGTTTAAAACACTTGATATCATACTCAAGTCCCTGTCATTAGGGTCGTATTTCCAGTGCTTGTGTTGCCATTGCAATAAGAGTCGTATTCTAGAACTCTACTCAATGCTCAAGTCAGGACTTCAGTATTGCAGTGAGCACTGAAAATCATACTCAAGTCCTTGCCATTAGGGTCGTATTTCCAGTGCTTGAAATCATACTCAAGTCTGCTCAAATGCTGACTTGAGCATTGAGTAGAGTTCTGGAATACGACCCTAAGTCACGCTGACTTCCCGCATACATTCTATTCTAGTCCGTCATGAAATTCCACGTGGTTTGGTATGTAAACAAGAGTTAGTAGTGCAAAAAAGAACCGCTACCAGTATCATCAGAATTCTTTTCACCTCTTTAGTGCCACCTCATTAAGATTATTTCTATTAAATTGAATAGGATTCAATTGAATTTGAATTGAATTAAATTGGTTTTGTTTTGGGCTTTACGAGTGGCGTCTCTGTCCTATAGGGTCCTGGTAGAATACCAGCGTCGCGGGCACCCGCGACATTTATGCTGAGTCAACGCCTTTTCACTGCCATGACATCCAAGGTAGATATTAGTAGAACATATTACTGCGTTACGTCTAAGTTAATGTCTGTATCATGTGTCTGTGTATGCATTTATCATCGCGGTGAATAAAGATTTTGTCTATCAAGTACTTGTTACAAATTATTGTTTCAAAAATTCGTGTTTATATAGGCGTTTACGTATATACATTAGCGATTTAAAAAATAAACATCAAACATCCTATATTTTGGAATGTTTAGAAAATAAACAACAACAAAGTCATAGGGGTTACTGAAACGTGAGACATCCTGCAACAAGATGGGTAACAACATGGTCAAAGTAGTTTCACCCGTATATGGGTGACTAGTACTGTCACTAGTTTTTAGCTATCACCTTTGAGGACATTACGATGCGGTGCTTCAATAACAAAAAACAGTATACGACGAGCTACGACTAAAAAGTCGTTGAAAGACCAAGTACAAAGACACGATGCAAGCACATACAAAAATTCGTGAGGTCCTTTGGTTTGGGAGAGTCTTTTCTGAGTGTTCGATCTTTGTATTAATAATAATAACAAACTAGTGGAGTAATTTCACAAAAAAAAAATTGAATATCAATTCAATAAAAATTTAATTAATACAGTGAATAGCGACATCTCTCGCCAGGACTGGTAGCTGTAAAGGTACTAACTGGGTGATAAATCTGTCATAGATTTCTCATAGATGGCGCTACGCCTAAAAAGTCGTTGAAAGACCAAGTACAAAGACACGATGCAAGCACATAGAAAAATTCGTGAGGTCCGTTGGTTCGTTCCGTGGCTTAGTTGGTATAGCGTCTGGCACGGTATGCAAGAAGACGTCGGTTCGAATCCGACCGGATCGAAGGAATTTTTTCTGAGTGTTTTTTCTGAGTGTTCGATCTTTGTATTAATAATTATAACAAACTAGTGGAGTAATATCACAAAAAAATAATTGAATATCAATTCAATAAAAATTTAATTAAAAAACAGCATGTCAGCGTCACGGACAAACCGTCACCTTTGAGGAGACGTGAGAGGTGTGACGTATAATTTGGACGGCCATGTCGTCGCTTTACTTTCTCAAACTCGTATCTTAAAGTACAAAGTTACTGAAATGCAAAACATGGATTGCATATGCACATTTTGCAGGCTGTTTTCACATCACAATTCCTTCATATTCACACACCGGCTTTTGTCTATTCTTAAAGTAATGCATCGAAATTAACACTCTTGATAAGAATTATAAAATAAATAGAAAGCTTTACCAGTTTACTCCTGAATAATCACTCTTTATAAGATACGAGTTTGAATAAGTAAGGCATCGTGTGTGTCTCGTCTGTGAATGTGATAAGTTTAATTACCTTGCACGACATATTTGAGCTGCTTCATAGCGTTGCGGATGACGTTATACTCTTCTTCGGTGACAACATCCTGCGGCCACATCTCTCTGAGCTCATTTACCAGGTTCTCATATACTGGACGGTAGTATACGATTTTGTAGGACTTCGCCATCGCTGAAAGATATCAAATATTTTCTACAATATACGGCGCGTAGTGAGCGTGCCCACATACAAGTTGCGTTGCAAATGTTTGTATGGAGTTACATTACTACTATGGTACTAATAAATATCTATAGAGTAAATATAGGTAAATACATCCAAACTAATAATTATAAATGTGGAAGTAACTGTTACATTTTGACGTCTAAACCAATAATGATGAATTTTGGTACAGAGATAGATGGGATAAACGGTGATAAGATTTATTTTTGTTACAATATAGGTGATATAGGAGATGAAACTTTCTTTGCAAGCACAATCAATAAAACAATGAAAATTAATACAGTACAGTACTTATTTTACGTAGACGAAGTTGCGGTCGCCAGCTAATAATATGTGTTGGCAAAAAATCAGTGCGGTTTTTGCCATTAGCTAACTTTAAACAAAAAAGAAGCACACAACTAATAATAATGATCATCAAAAGTGCTTTTGCCACACGAAACTCATAAAAATAATACGAACTACATGAAAGAAATTTTATATAATAATATGTGAAATTTCATAAAATGCTATTTAAGCATACAAAGTTACCGACTAATTTCGTTCGTAGAATCTTTAAATCTCTTTCCTAAAAAGTTTTCATTTTGCAGATGTGATGTTATTAAAGCAAGGGTGCATATAGTAGTGGTTAAGTTTGAAAATTTTTTTTATCCGTCGTTGGCAAATTCAAAATGAATAAATATAACGTTTATTTTCACCTCCTAGCTCGGAAAGGCTTTCTATCTCATTAGAAATCTGTGCGCAAAAGCGTTTTTTTGCACGCTGGCGTGGAAAGGGTTTTGAAATTCGAACTTGACGGTGGACTGTGTTACACCTAACACTTTCTTTAGATGAAAAAACAAAAAGTTAATGACACGTTCAGCTACGCGATTTGTTGTACATTACTTATTTATGTAATATAAATCCATTGGTATATTTTATTCTTATTATTGTTAACATTAAATTGACAATGATAACTCGTTGTGTTTATTAAATTATTTTAATTCGTGGAAGTACTAAAATAATTTCAATAATCAGTTAATAACACAAAATAAAAGTACAAGCAAGACTAGAAATTTAAGAGGTGCAAATTCAGAACGCGTAGGAAGATAAACTTTTTCTTGTAATTAAAAAAAAACGGATGTTTTAAAGTTCAACTGTTTTTCTTTCATCTATCATTTTCCTCGCTATAGTGAGGTGAAAAGTTGTGAGTTTTGCTCGGCTCTTGAAATACTCGCTACGATCAGGAATCTCAGTTTCCTTCGCTTGCTCAGGTTTCAATACAAGTACTCGCGCCAAACAACAACTTTGCAGCCTTGCACAACAAATAACTATTATTTATTCTGCACACCTTACACTTACAGTACTTATAATTAAACATGTAAGTCGTAGTCACACAAAGGTTGAGTCGATCACCGGCCAAAGGTAAGATGCGGCATTTGGACCACAGAGCTTTGGGCGGTGACCATCGCCAAATAGTAAACAGCGGATGTTAGAAATTCTGGTTCAGTGTTGCTGAACACGTCAATATCATTTGTCCTTCTTAAGGCTTCGAAGAAAGAACGGTGTCCGTCTTAGTGTCATTGTGCGGAATAGATTTTTGAAGATTTTTTTTTCACGTGACAAGGACGTGAAATTGGCGGTTAGAAAAAAGGAAATCGAGCAATATCAAATTATGGAGCTCGAAATGCTTTCCTATGTTAATACGTAAAGCCAGTAGTGTAGTTGCCAGCCTTGGGCGTACAAGTCAATCCATCGGCAGAATACTTAAAATCTTTTAGCGACGAAATATAAAACACTATAAAAGCTTTTATTTTATTAAATTGCATTAACTTTTTTCCTTATCTTCATTTCCAAGAATCAATTTACTTTAAGAATTTATTTTAGATGAAAGTGCTAGAAATCGAATGATTCGAGTTAAAAGTGACCCATCTGAGTTTTGTCGCCGTCTCTTTTATATACCAAATCAAATCACAGATAAGATATGAGACGAGCTTTCATTAAAGTCATGTATTTAAAAAAGATGGATTACTCAACATACGATATTTATCTCTTAAGCAATCTTCTATCAGTCAGGAAGCTATATTTTTGCAAATAGTTCTTACAATGCATAAAACATTACTATATGACACAAATATAGAAAATAAAAGAAGGAAGGATTATCACAATAACGATAAGTATAACGATGACATTAAATCAACATTTGCTGGTATGCAGTACAATAGACGCTCAGCCTATCTATATAATAAAATTAATAAAGAATTATGTATATTTAAAAAAACCTATTATGAATGCAAAAACAAAAAAAAGAAAAATAATTTAAAAAATATTTTTTCAGATCTTCAAATAGCTGAAGAGATCCTCGTGAAAGATTTCGCCCAGGGAAGTACGGCCACCTAACCTATTTCTGCCGCCAAGCAGTAATGCAACCATTACTGCGTTCCGGTTTTCAAGGATATGGGTGCTGGTTATATTACAAACACACAACACACTTGTCAACTTATGCTATCTTTGCGATTTAAAGCTCTGAGTGGCACTGCAACTGTAATGGACAGGCGTGTCATTTACCACCAGGCGCATGAAATGTTCGTCCAGTCATTTGGTATCATAAATAAAAAAGTCTGAACACTGAATATGGTACAAGTAAATAAGTTGTAATTAAATTTCTCACTCAAAACTCGCTTTCAGTAATTCTCTCCTCAGCTATACCTAGTTGGACCTACCACATAGGGGAACGTGGGGTATTGGGAGCCCGCGGGTGATGAGAGCGGTGTTAAACTGGACGTTCCCAATTCTTGTATTTGTACAAACGGCACTCCTATGTCTTCGTTAACGTTCGCCAAGGTTCGAGTCCTGTGGGCGGCCCCGTAGAACTCCGCGTTTAGTCGTATGAGATGGTTGTGTGTTTTTCGCTCCGCGCTTATAAAATTTGCCAGATTTCATCATCACAGGTAAGCATTAAAATACATAGATACTACATTGTACGAGGGCTATCCAGAAATTAGATTACGTTTTCGTCTGTGTCCGCTAGGGGCGGGACTAGCGCGGTCATCTCTGGGTCAGAGCGTTGCGCAGCTCAGTCGGCATCTAGCCGTGCTAGTGAGAGGTTCGTGCTGTGCTCCGTTAAGATACTGTGACGGTTTGAAATGTCTGCGTTAATTGAAAATCCCGCGAGCTGCGAGGTGCGTGCAGTAATAAGGTTTCTGACTGCAAAAAACTGTAAACCGATAGAAAAAGAGGCACTACAATAAACTCTCAAAGGTATTGCCAAACTCTCCAAAACTTCAGAAGAGCAATTCAAAACAAGCGCAGAGGAATGTTGAGCTCTAAGATCTTGTTGATTCACGACAACGCCCGGCCCCGCACGGCAAATGTCACTCGTGAAGTTCTTGAATATTTTAAGTGGGAGTTGTTTCCCCATCCGCCGTACAGTCCCGACCTAGCACCGAGCGACTTCCACCTATTCCCAGCAATGAAGAAGTGGCTGACCATGCAGCGTTTTGATGACGACGCACAGCTGCAAGAAGAGGTAACGAAGTGGTTGAAGGCGCAGGCGGCCGAATTTTTCGATACGATAAATGCCTTAATTTGAATGGTGACTATGTAGAAAAGTAGAATTTGAGTGTGGCTTTCATCTGTATATAATAAAATTTGTTTCCTATACTTTGTTTATTTTTTATTCCAAAACGTAATCTACTTTCTGGATAGCCCTCGTATTTACACTAGCTATGTCACCATATCTATCAAATTTTAGAAGGTATGCTTGAAATCAGAATAAAAATAGAAATGTTTTTACTGTTTTATTCCTTTTGCAATTCGATGTTACGCGGGTAATGAGAGCTATTTGGCTCTCCTTATCCCATTGCAATATTCACCGGATATTTCTTTAACACTTTCTTGTTTATTCTCATATTTTATTACTTTGAATTTTTTTTCAGACTGATTATATATAATGGCTCCCATTTGATATACGGGATTGTTACCGGCTCCCATTTCTCGAACTGGAGTAATGGAGCGAATGGCATGATTTAGTTTTTTCTTTTTAACCAAATATTATATTTTACTTTCACATTTTTTATGTGATTATACAGATATGTGAAGTGTACGTTCATAACTAATAAAAATTTAAATTGCATAAATTATGACTTTTATTATCAATTTTCCTTAGTAGGCTCCCATTCCCCCACGCTCCCCTACTCTAAGTTTCACTAGATTCATCAGTTCTTACAAGACATATAAAGACACGTGCTCGTAAACGTAATTGAGGATCTAGGTATTCACCTTTCCTAATGGGCTGCCACAAGGTGCGTTCCTAGGGCCCATATCATACGAGGATAAAGGTTAATTGCAAACTTCGCCTGATCATCGGTGATAGTGGATCATGAAGTACGTACATCAGAGTGGTGCTTTTGTAAAGCCTTACCACCAGACGCACGATTTGTTCTTACCATCACTTGGCATAATAAAAAAATCGCATAATTTGTTTTTTTCAAACAAACCAACGTTTCGAGTTTCTTAAAGGTTCTATAAAAAAAAATAAAATAAAAAATCATTTATTGTCTCCACAAACAGTGCTTGTAAAAATAAATATAGATGCTTTACATAATGTCAAAATATAATCTGGTTGTGGTGTGCTGGACTCCACCCCCGGCCAGACTTGATAGCTATGATTGAGCAATTGCAAGTGAAAACAAAATGAAAGCAAAATAAAAATAAAAGTTAAAATGTGAATGGTGCGCGCGCGTGCGTGCGTGTGTGTGTGTGTGTGTGTGTGTGTGTG